ATAAGCAAATTGATAATTTCAATTTAAAAAAATTAAATATACAGGCTCTACGATACATATGGCTGAAAGTTCAGTTATCGTCTACCGTACTTGTAGCATGAAAGTAACTTACAAAATATTTGTATAGTTAAGAGATATGCATTGTGCTGTATAATTATATCCATATCAGACTAGCCTCGCAGGTCACTACACACGGCCTACATAGGCCTACATATGTTCGACGCATGATCACACTTTTCTTCATATCACAGTTTTTGTTGTACAGTTATCATGAGAGTTAATGAGATTTGACAGCTGATCTGTCAGATGCATGTAACAAAAATTGCATTTGATGATCACCTGATTAGGTAACGTCATCATAAGTAGGAGCATTATTTGTTCAGAAATTTTGGGAATTCCTCGCCTACAACATTACTACAAGTATCTGCTTTTGACCCGCCGGTGAGGCTTTCGTCTTCTTTAATTTTAAAAGCTAAAGTCCTGGACTTTGCTTCTGTTCAGGCAAGCTACCACCCATTTTATTAAGTTTGTTTTGCTAGATATCATATCACCAGGTATCATTTTAATTTACCAAAGCTCACCTCCATATCTAAAGCACGTGATGATCAACACTTGTGTCTCATGTTGTCTTCCCTTTGGCCAAGCAAATGACAGATATAAGAACGTTTGTAAAAACAGGTAGCACTGCTTGTGTCTCAATGGTAATGATTTATTATTTAATTAGTTGATGGATCATCACCAAAATCTTATCATTACGTCCATTTTTGAGCATTATATTAATCGTTGCTGCACACTTCAGTGCTATTTAAGACACATGTCCCACTCAGTGAGATCCTCCGGGCTTTCGCACCTGTCAGGTGAGGTGGGAGGTGCCGGGATCAAAGGTCCTTAAATAGTTTGACCTTGTTAGAATTTCAATGATGGGAACTGTTTTTCTGTATGAACAGCTGGGAAAGATATTCAAAACGGGCGTTGAATCATAATGCTGCAAAAAACCTAGTTTATTCATGTACATATAGAAGGTATATACTGTAGAAGAACTATGGAGGGTGTAATGTCTGACCCCTTGTTTAATCCTTATTACAGCATAAATGGCACTATTGAAAAACTAGAGGTTAGCGCAGCAGTAGCTAAGGCAAAGCAAAAGAAAGCTACGGGAGTAGATAATATCCCCAGTGAAATTTTGAAAAATGAAACTATTATTAACTTACTAACATCACTGTCCAATTTCATATTTGACACGGCATTATTACCAAGTATGTGGAGAAAGGTTATTATAATACCAATACCGAAAGACAGTAAACTAGA